GTCTTCGCATTGCTCACATCTTTGTCGGATTTTAAATGATGTAATAAAGTTATCATTTTTTTGTCTAAACAAATTTTACAACCTAAAATAAATTAATAATTTAAACTAATTTTTAATTCATTTAATTTAATATAAGAAATTAAAATAAAGTTAGTCCTTAATATTTTTCAGAAATTTTGGCATTATTTTCTTTAAAAATAAGAGTAAAAAAAATCTAAATCTGTCAACAGAATTTACAATCATATACAATAATAATCATTATACACCGTACCACCACAATTCAATTTTATTTTTCTCAAAATTAGCAATTCATGCCAACGATCAAAGTAATCATCAATTCACATGAAACCGAACATATCTTAATAACTATGTATAATTAGTTTATCGTACTAAATACGAAACAAACAAAACACATATAAATTACACACAATATCACTAACAACAATAACATTCAAAAATTAACAAATCCGTATTTCAACAATTAATAAAAAATAAAGTTGAATTTTTGGAGAAAATAATTGGGAAAAATATATGACGGCTATGAAATAGGTAAATTAAAATTTTTTTTTTTTGGAGCAATGTAATTGAAAGCAATTGGGTACAGCTAATGTGTGTTTACATTAAATCTGTGGGGTGCGTGTGTGTTGTGTATCTAGGTGCGTCTTTGTGTTGTGCATGTATGTGTTTTGTGTAAGGCCAGCAAAGTGCAGGCTTTAGGCCCCAAAACACATACATGCACTAATCAAAAATTATAACCACTAATTCAAAATAAAAATTCAATTTTATAAAAATTGAAGCCCAACAAAAAAGTTAAAAGATAGATTTAAATTAGATAGTTCGGAGGTATTTCTTCCGCCCTTGTACCAAAAAAACTATTAAAAAAATATAAATTTAAAAGTGATGTACAGTTGTTAGAAATATTTTTATATTACACTTCTCAACATATTTTTCTAACCACTCACTCTTTATCCTTATCTTTCTCTCTCCTCTCTCCTCTCTCCTCTCTCCTCTCTCCTCTCTTCTCTCTCTTTCTCTCCCCTCTCTCCACGATAAAATAATTTGGAAAGGTCAAGAGCCAAAACAGACCCCCTCTCCCCTTTTTGCTCTCTCTCTCTAGCCAACAAAGGCTAGGGGACCTCCCTATCTCCTCTCCCTACAATAAAATTTGTCTCGTGACAAGGACTTTACTGTGCCATTATTTTTTTATGGATGAGGCGTTGATTTGCCTTCTGGTACAATGATAATCAAATTTTGCAGGAAAATCGAAAATAACAACAAATAAGGTGTTATTAATCTATGCTTTGAATTTTTTATTTAAAGTTATTATTATGGTTTTTTTTAATATAGATTGTGTGTGATTGTTTCATTATTTGTGATTGTTTAGTTAATATTTGATAGTATGGCAAGTAGAAAACAACCGGATGGATATGAAAGGCTAAAAAAAAAAGAAGATATTCCAACTCTTGGGGTAGGGGTTCCAACTTTTTTGGGGTGGTTCCAACTTTTCTGGTTTGGGTTTCAACTTTTCTGGGGTGATTTTCAACTTTTTTGATTAGGGGTTCCAACTTTTTTGGATAGGATTCTAACTTTTTTGGTTAGGAGTTCAACTTTATTAAGTAGGTGTTCTAACTTTTTGGATAGAGGTTGGAACTCTTGTGGGGGGAGGATTCCAACTTTTTTGGAGGTTCCAACTCTTGGTGGTTCTAACAGTTGGTGGGTTCTAACAGTTAGGGGGAGGGTTCAACTTTTTTGGGTAGGGTTCTAACTTTTTTGGATAGAGGTTCCAACTCTTGGGGTATATGTTCCAACTTTTTTGGATAGGGTTCTAACTTTTTTGGTTAGGGGTTCAACTTTTTTAGGCAAGTGTTCTAACTTTTTAGTAGAAGTTCCAACTCTTTTGGGGGGAGGGTTTCAACTTTTTTAGAGGTTCTAACTTATTTGGGTAGGGGTTCCAACTTATTTGGTTCCAACTTTTTTGGGTAGGGGTTACAATTTTTTCGGTTGGTGTTCTAACTTTTTTTGGTACGGGTTCCAACTCTTGAAGAGGGTTCCAACTTTTTTTGTGTAGGAGTTTCAACTTTTTTTTGGGTGAGTTCTAATTTTTTTGGGTAGGATTCCAATATTTTTGGAAGGGGTTCAACTTTTTTGGAGTGAGTTTCAAACTTTTTAATAGGGTTCCAACTCTTGGGGAAGGGTTCCAACTTTTTTTTTGGGTAGGGTTCAAACTTTTTGGGTTTAACGGTTGGAGGAGGGTTCAACTTTTTTGGGCAGTGACAGTCTTTAGGCGGGAAAGTGGGTGGAGGGAGAGATAAAGTTTTTGTGATTAATATATTGTAATATATGGGGTGTAAGTGTAATTTACAATGTGAATCATTTAGGATCGGTCCAAGAAATGGGAGATCGGTCCTGGGTAAATATCACCCTTTTATCCCTTAAATAATAAAAAAAATCCCCAAAAATATTCAATTTTTTATAAATAGTCCCAATTTTTATTAACAAAAAATTAAATAATGAATAAAATCAAAAAATTAAAGGAATCATAAATAATGCTTCCAATTGAGTCAGGTTATAATATTTTTGGATTGGATTCCAATTTTTTGGGTGACCCCAATTCGCTACATCAAAAAAATCTTACTATCCAAAAATATTCAATATTTTTTAAATAACAAAAAATAAATAATAAATAAAATCAAATAAATAAAAGAATTGTAAATAATGCTTTGGTGTGGTTATAACTGGTTATAACTTTTTTTGAATTGGGTTCTAATTTTTTGGGTGAGTCGGATTAGTTAGATCAAAAAAAAGTCCTTAAATATTTAGCATTTTATAAATAGTTAATTTTTTTTTATTAACAATAAATAAATAATAAATAAAATCAAACTATTCAAATAATTGAAAATAATGCTTCTAACTATTTGGGTCATGCTTCATTTTTGGAGGTTACAACTCTTGAGGGAAGGTTCCAACTTTTTTGAGATTCCAACTTGGGGTGGGTTCCAACTTTTTTGATTAAGAGTTCCAACTTTTTTGGTTGAGATTCCAACTCTTGTGGGACAGTTCCGACTTTTTTGATTAAGAGTTGCAATTTTTTTGGGTAGGGGTTCTAACTTATTTAAATAGATGTTCTAACTCTTGGGGTATGGTTTCCAACTTTTTTAGATGGGGTTCTAACTTTTTTGGTTAAGAATTCAACTTTTTTAGGCAGGTGTTCTAACTTTTTGGTAGAGGTTCCAACTCTTGTGGGGGGAAGATTCCAACTTTTTAGAGGTTCCAACTATTGGTGGGTTCTAACAGTTTGGGGGAGGGTTTCGACTTATTTGAGTAAGAGTTTCAACTTTTTTGGGTAGGGGTTACAACTTTTTGGGTTGGTGTTCTAACTTTTTTGAGTACAGATTTCAATATTTTGGGTAGATGTTCCAACTCTTTGAGGGGTTCAAACTTTTGTTAGGTAGGAGTTCTAACTTTTTTTGAGGTAGGTTCTAACTTTTTTGGGTAGGGTTTCAACATTTTTGGTAAGAGTTTAACTTTTTTGGAGTGGGTTTCAACTTTTTTGTGGTAGGGGTTCCAACTCTTGGGAAGGGTTCCTAGGAGGATTCCAACTTTTTGGGTCTAACGGTTGGAGGAGGGAGTTTAACTTTTTTGGGCAGTAGTTCCATATTTTTTGAGTGAGGTTATTTGTCAAGTCCTACTCTTTTTCATTACCGGTTTAGCAGGTAACCGATATCAACTTTTTTAAATTGATCGACGGCTATAAAAACAGAAAAATTACATCAATGGCCCAGATAAAATGGTGATACCATACCGAAAAGTAAAAATCGGTATTATAGTCTAACCCAAATTCTCAACTGCACTGTCCTTTATCAAGAACATAACATAAATGACGATCCAGATTGGTCCACATTGATACATTCATCATGGTCTAAATTTAATATGTGATGCACATAACTACCGGCCAGTCATTTTGAATCTTAAGTATATGGTCGATAGCTATGTGCATCACATATTAAATTTAAATGTGATACATTCATCATTTATTATATGTTTGTAGTGATCTTCAAAATCTTCAACCTTAAACCAATTGTCCTTTTATTTTATCAACCATCTTCATACACCTTGGTTGGGGTTCACATGCAAAAACTATTGAGTGATGTATGTGTTATTATACTTATTGTGATTCAATAATTGAACAAGTAATACAATAAATAATAACTAACAAGTCTATTGTGATGATTTTCTAATTTCATCGAAAATATTTATGGTTCGGTTCAATGTTATTAGAACCGAACTAGACATCAAATCGGCAGAGAGACTAAGTAAATGATTCATTGATTCAACCGTTAGATCAACTGGTTGGATCGATCGTATAACAAAAAAATATAAAGTATAATAATTTAACCAAAAAAATAATATGTTCATAAAATTCAAAGAATAAAGAATATAAACGTGTGAGAGAGAAAGACAGTGAGAAAGTAGTAAAGGACAATCAATATCAGCCAGTGGAATAGAGAAGAGAAATCTTTTATTTCAAGAATGTGAAATGACCATTTGTCTTGCTCACATTTCACACACACACACACACAGACGACTTAACAAAGAGAGATGGAAGATGTCATCGTAGTCTGAAAAACATTTTAAAGCATTCCCAGTGTTTAATTAAGCATCAATCTAAAAAAAGGGAAGACCTAAAATTTATTTTGAGTAATACCATTAAAATTTTAAAAAATTACTTAATTTACTGACATAATAATATATGTCAAGGACAAAGTTCAATGAAAAAATTTAACAGTTTGAGTCGCAATAACATATCCACACATGATTATGATTTAGGTCTTAATAACAACACTCATTTATTTTTCCCATGCATATTTTCTTGTTAGTCTCACAAAAAAGGCTAGTGAATATCACAGCAGCATTTTATTGCAATACCATTGGAAGGGAACAACCTTCCTTATAATTACAATACATACATACTTAAAATAATTTGCATGCTGCATAGGTTATTAGTACTGGTAGCTGATCTTTGATTTCAAGAGTTCGAACTTTCTGAACCCGATCAGGTATGGTGTATCGTTTAGAACGAAGCGACCCTCGGAATCACGGCCAACATCTTTACAAATGGCGTTGCAGTAATGATTGTTACAGACACTTGGACAGAAAACGAGCTTGTAGTAATCTCCAAGTTTTTCAATCTTAAACCAATTGGTTATGGTTTCACAGTCAGGGTTTCTCTCTACTCCACCAACTCTCACAAAATATTCTTCAGACTCTTCATCGTACTGAACATTCCACACACCAGACTGAGCACATGGTGGTACCCAAACGAATTTGATGTTGAGATCAGTGAATTCACGGACCACACCATCGTCGGAGTTCACAGGCGAAATCCTCGCTGGGATGCCACCGACTAATTGTGTACGTGGGCCCACATCAAGTGGGCATGTTTCGTTTCCACCACTGACTAGTTGGACTACCGTTCTAGGGCGAAACAAAGGCCATTCTATGTAGTAGTAATCGGTTACTTGCATTTGCTCACCACTTAATGGGATGTCTTTGGAAGGTTTTGAGCTAGTGGAGAGTGTTTTGGCATTGTTGTTGACTCTTATCTCTTTGGGGGCACTGTTGATGTTCATGGCCTGCACAAAGAGGATGGGCCCAGAGTCTCCTCCACCCATGGGCTCTACTTCATAGAAAAGGACTGCGGAGGGCCCAAGTGGCCAAGAGAGGCGAACCAAGGCGAGACACGATGCTCACAAGAAAAGGATTGAGGAGAAAGGCATAACTTGTGAGCGATATGTGGATAAAACTTTTCTTGGACCAAGGGATGAGGTGGTGAAAATTATTGAACAACGGGGGTTGAAGTTGTGGTTTGAGGAGGTCAAGGGGTTTAACTTGGGGATGCGTCGTGAGTTTTACCAGAAGTTAGTGGTTTTCGGTGATAATGGGAGTAAGTTGAGGATGAATGTAAGGGGCAAAACATTTGAAGTGACCCTTGACACAATAGCCATGGCGATGGGCTACAAGAGACCTCCCCCGACCACCTCAGTCTACCCACACAATGTGGATGGGGGTAGGACTCTCAGAGACTATGTGGCCCTCACCTATGAGGACCCGACCACGTTCACGGGAACAACGTTGGTCGGGGGCCTCAAACATGCATATGAGGTTATGAATAAAGTGTTGCATTACAATTTGATGCCTCGGGGTTCGGAGAAGAACCCAAACATATAGAAGTTGGTTTTAATTCATGCATTCATGATTGGGGTTGCCATTGATTTGGCTTATTTCATTTGGTGGGAGATGAGGGAGTTTGCCTAGGCTGCAAAGCCAAAGGCAAATCTCCCCATTGGAAGCCTCATCACCAAGTTGTGCGACCTTGACAACGTGAAGCATTATGTACGTGATACACTGCTCCCCTAAGAGACTGGAGCCATAGGGAAGTCTAGCAGTCAAAAGAGGGCTGCCAGGACTGGGGCTGAGAGAGCTATGGCTTTGAGGCCACAACCATCAGATGCTGGTACATCTTCTTCAGCACCTCCACCTCTCGCTCCTGCACCTGTAGCTACTACTGCCCGCACCATGCCACATCATATGGACACATTGGAGTCCACTATGCACGTGATGTCTATCATGGTTATGAGGCTCTTCCAGCATATTTTCCTAGGTGAGCCTATCCCCGGAGGACCTCTACCACAGCCTGCTAGACCCTTGACCACTACCCTAGTGCCCGCCACAACTGTTGAGGTCCACCATGACGACGACGATGAGGATGAGGAGTCCGAGTCTGAGGAGGAGGATGCTTTTGACGAGGATGATGATTTAGGAGTTTTTTGTAATTTGTTTTGAATTGTGGTTGTACATAGCTAGGATTTCCTGTCTTGGCCGGTAGAAGAATCTTTAGGTTTTGGCTATTTTTTTTTTTTGGAACTTGAACCTAGTGTAAAGAAATTTTGAAAATGATCAATGAAATACCACAATTGTTTTGTTTAATCATTGCCCAAAGCTATTTATGTAATTGCAATATGATTTGTGTAATTTAAATGTTAGGATGTTGATTATGTGTATGCATGGATCATAGTTTGTTTTATAGCTGTGGTTTGAAATAATGTTTGCTAGGGACTAGAAAAACTCAAGTTGGGGGGTGTGATTAGCACAAAAACATGGCATATTTTGGATGCTAATATGCCGTTTTATACTTGCTCTTGTCATGAGATTGGGGAGAAATGCGTTTAATCTTCATTTTGATGGATTTTTATGTAAATGTAGGAAAAAGAATGTAAATGATTCAAGTTAAGCTTCTATTGAAGTGATAGAAGTCGATGAAGATGAGGGGATAGCTTAAAGGAAGGCTTGGAGGGTGAAGAAACCAAGAAAAATGTAGTTTGGGTGAAAACCTTTTGGAAGGTTTTGCCTACTGGTTTCTTCATTTAATTGTAGCTGCACAAACCTTCCAGAAGGTTTTTGTTAACCTTCCTGAAGGTTTTGCCCAGATTGCCCAGACAACCTGCACCAAGCAAAGCATTTGTTATAATGGCAAAGGCCAGAAGAAATGAAAGCAGCAGTTCACAACAATTAGTCTTCATTGTGAGCTACTCTTATGTATGTTTGATCAGGTGCACCGTTAAAAGGCAAAAGAGGTGGTATTTATAGAGCTGAACACGTAATGTTGCTATTGTACCGTTGTCGTTGGATTGCCAATGGATCCAAAGTATTCACATTATTCACAAAACCCACCAAATAAAAATAAAAAAAGAAAAGGTTTTCGATGTGTTAAATACTTTTGGTTGAATAGTTTACATATAGTACATAAAAAGTCCCTTCCTTCGGTTGAATAGACATAAAAGTTAACATAACATGAAATTTTGAATATTTACAATCTCCACTCTACAATTTTTAGTGCATTCAAACGCTTCAATTTGGTTTATAAAGAATTTAGTTTGAGTTATGTGGTCCCTATGTTTTATTTTTTTGTAAGGAATTTAAATAAGTTATTTTAAATATCACATTTTTTTTTCTTTTTAAGAGCAATGCTATTTGAATCTAACCTAATTACATGACTTCATTATAACCGTTAAATTACCATTAAATTTCAATATTTAATGAGACTCACCGATAATCATATCTTCTATCTAGAGAACTTTTCCTTAGACTCAATGTTTGGTATTGATGAAAAAAATAAAAGGATAGAAATAATATACATACATAATTTACTATTTTAGCCTTATATGAGATTAGTGTATATATTATATATCATATCACTATGATATATGTATCATGTGTTTTAACAAACACAAATCACATAATAATACATCTATTTTCACCGATAGGTATATAAGTTTGGGATTAGGTGTTTAATGGAAATAAATAATTAGTTAAAGGTTAAAAAAATAAATAACCACTTACCATTTTTTTTTTGATCGTACCAAAGAGATAGACACAAGGTCAATTGCCAGATAAAGTGATGATGTTGTAATTTATTATTTGCTTGTCATGTTGACACGTGGAAAGTAGATAAAGAATAGGGCACGTTTTTTTTTTTTTTTTTCTGAACAGAACAAGTTTAACTTATCTTGTTGATTATCTTCGCATTGGTCACATCTCTGTCAGATTTTGAATGATATAATAAAGTTATCATATTATTGTCTAAAGAAATTTTACAATCTAAAATAAATTATTAATTTAAAATAATTTTTAATTCATTTAATTTAATATAAAAAATTGAAATCAAATTAGTCCTGACTATTTTTCAAAAATTTTGGCATAATTTTCTTTAAAAATAAGAATTCAAAAAAATCTAAATCTTTCGACATAATTTACAATCATATATAATAATTATCATTATACACCGTACCACCACAATTCTATTCTACTTTTCTCAAAATTAGCAATTCATACCAACGACCAAAATAATCATCAATTCACATAAAATCGAACATATCTTAATAATCATGCGTAATTAGTTCATCGTACTACATACAGAACAAATAAAATGCATACAAACTACACACAATATCACTAAAAATTATAACATTCAAAAATTAACAAATTCGTATTTTCACAATTAATAAAAGATAAAATTGAATTTTTGGAGAAAATAATTGGGAAATATATATGATAGCTATGAAATGGGTAAATTAAAAGTAATTGGTTACACCTAATGTGTGTGTGCATTAAATGTGTGGGTGCGTGTGTGTTGTGTATCTAGGTGTGTGTTTGTGTTGTGCATGTGTGTGGGATTTTTTGTGTTTGTAGGAGTTGGAACCACCGCCGACGCTGTTGTAAGGTCAGCAAAGCCCAGGCTTTAGGCCCTAATTTTTAATTACATCCCATAATTTATTATTATGACCACTAATTCAAAATAAAAATTCAATTTTATAAAAATTAAAGCCCAACAAAAAAGTTAAAAATTAGATTTAAATTAGATAGTTTGGGCTTATTTCTTTTGCCCATGTACCAAAAAAATTATTAAAAAAAAATATATCTATAAAAGTGATGTACAGTTGTTAGAGATCCATATAATAAAGTAGAACGAAGTTTGAATCCAAAAAATAAAGAGAGGTCCAGATTGTTTTGAGACAAAACATAAACACATACAACGGATAATGTAATCTCAACATAAAAAACGGTTCAAATCATCTCAAAATTTATGATCTAACGGTCAACAATGAATATTAAATTTTTCTTTCGCACCCAACAGAGACCTTTGTCTCACGCCTCTCCCTCTCACTTCTGCCTCTCCTCCCTTTCTCACGCGCCTCTCTCTCTCTCCCACTCCCAAGAATCACGTTTCTCCTTCCCAAAACTACATCCTATTCTATCTTTCTCCCTCTCTCACCGATCTTTATCCCTCTGGTGATCCTCTTTCCATACCAATATGTAAAATTGGCATTCAATCCTATCTTAAGAATTCAAAATATCACCTTCTTATACCGGTGATTCTCAAATCTTTAATTAAATCCCTAATGTTCTGCAAATCTTCTCTCCCTCACTTAGTGTCAAATTGATTAATTCCAGCTGCTGCTCATAATGCACAGACTCTTTGCTAGAATTCTCCATTGTCCCGACTGATTTCAGGTACACGTTAAAACTCTCTGCTTCTCTTTTCCTCTCTGTCTCTACTTCTCTATCTCCACAACTCATCTCTTTTTCTGATTGCAAAACATTCATCACTTATTCAAGCATTCGTATGGTACAGTTGTTGTGATTAGTTGTTCATGTAATTTTACATACTCCACACCAAGTGTTTGTTGAAATGTTTGAGAGAAATATAGTATACTTTACCATTGATTTTTTGTTTGATTGATATGAATTCTTTTTTTTTTTCTAGTTACAGTTTCTTGAATTTAAGGCACAATGCTTAATATCCAAAAGCATTTTATGTTGGCGCAGCAATGAATTTTGTTATTTTCTTTTCACTTTATTTTGGTCAGTAGTTGCCTTAACGATTTTGTTCTTATTTTGAAGGTTTCTGCAGGGAGCTTCAAGCATTGATCAACATTTCTATTCGACACCATTTGAGAAAAACATACTTGTATGTCCAAATGGCATGATCATTTCTCGGCTCTGTTATTTTTAATAACTTTTTTTCTAGATACCCTAGATGTTAGTTAGATATTTGGATGACTTATTTTACTGTTTATTGGCATTGCTTCAGGTGCTTCTAGGTTTGTTGATCATATGGAATGTTTTGTTTCTTGGTTACCTTGCAAGAGTGAGTAAGATGCTACATTTAATTTCCGTCGTTTGACGATTTTCTGATAATGTCTTCTTACTTCACACCCCATGACCTTAAAGCTTCAAATTCTTGCAGG